TATGTTTGTATGTTTGTATGTTTGTATGTTTGTATGTATGTATGTATGTATGTATGTAGGTATGTAGGTATGTAGGTATGTAGGTATGTAGGTATGTAGGTATGTAGGTATGTATGTGTGTAGGTATGTAGGTACCTTAGGTATGTAGGCATGTAGGCATGTAGGCATGTAGGCATGTAGGCATGTAGGCATGTAGGCATGTAGGCATGTATGGATGTATGTATGTATGTATGTATGTATGTATGTATGTATTTTCCTGATAAACATATACCACATATATATATGTATATATATATATATCCATGCATAACAATTATATATTATACACCGGTTGAAACCACCAGTTCCTCCAAACTTCTACCACCGCCCCAGGATTCACCTCACTGACTATGTATCCCAATGTGAGGGGGTCAGTGATCTTCCAAGCAGTTCCTGGGACCGCTCTTTGGACAGCGTGGAACTGTTTTCAGGAAAAGGAGAACTGACTGCAGCAATGCGCTACTTGGTTCAAAGCCCGTTTGTTGTGGGGAACTGGCCCACTGGATGAAACAAAACAATGTGAGCCCTATTCGATAGTTTTGTCTTTATATATGTGTGTGCATGTGTGAGACATATATTGATGTTATTTAAAACAACTCATTGTATTTGATTGGCTTCGAAGTATGAGCTCTTTGGGAAAAACACACGCCTTACCCCCCTTGTTGGATATTGGATTGTCAATGCCCTTGCAATTGCTCCAAGGTCGGGCTGGGTTTCGGGCTCAATGGTTCGATTGGCTCCACAGGCCAGTTGACCTGAGGGCTGGGGGGTCTGCTCATCAAATTCCTACAAGTGATGATTCCAAAACTTTTTTTTGTTGTAGTCAAATTTACTCTTGTCAGTAGTGCTTGCAGGTGGCTGGGTGGCCACAGTGGGTGCAGTAGAGTCATTCCAAAAGTTGTCAGGAACCAAACAGAAGATTTCGTTCATAATAGGTATTCGTTCTGTGGTGCCTGAAACCAACCCCAGTTTCCAAGCCTGGGTCCCCGTGCCAAAGCTACAATCTGCAGGCCAGATGACATGAACAACCTCCTGACCGTAGCAGGCATGATGCAGGCGGTCAAAGATACCCTTCGGCTTCGTGAAGGAGGACTATTATTCGGAGGGGTTCCGTGTAGTTCGTGGCTGGGGCTTGTTGGAAATTATTGTCTTGATTTCGGAAACCTATTGCAATAATCCTGAAAACTTAAACATTGAAGATCTAGCTGGGAATCTAAGGTGGGTGTGGCTGAGTTGCCCAACACATATGCGTCACGTGGCCATATTGGGTGATAGCCGTGACTTGGACCCGAAAATGACAAGTGTTTTTTAAATACTATAATATTATAAATTAATATATATATATATAATATATATGCTCTAAAATATTGGCCCAACAAACATAATCATTGGTAAATAAATGCCATACATGGAGCATTTGGGTTTTGAAACAAAATCACAGTGGCTAGTGGATTGCCAAGGCCAAGAAATGGTTCGTATTGGAAATATCCTGGGGGCTCGATTTTGCCTCCTTGCCGGCCTAGCGCTAGTTATAGGAGCGCATTGGGCAGACTCTTGGTTAAAAGCTTTGATTTGCAAAATGAATCAACAGGATTTTTGCTGTGGAACCCCTACTTACACAATCAACACTTTGAAGGTTGAGCAACCGTCCACAAGCCGATTCATCCATTACCCCTACATGACCTGGTTGGAACGTGTGGCCAAATGCTTCTTCAAACGCTTGCTTGAAACTCAGTGAACATGACCATTATGTTTTTTGCTTTCTGTGTATCCCTTTTATAACTGAATTGTAAGCCCTCACAACCAGTCCAATGGCGAACTACCACCACTTCAGCTTGAAGCCATCGTATCTTTGTGGATCACCGTTACAATCTCAGCGAGGCAGCACACTGCTGGAATGTGTCTGTGTGAATCAGCACCTTCGAAATTCAAGATATACCAAAACAATAGCCAACTGGAACCTAAAAGCAAAATAGTTTCCGATATTTGACAGTACAACTTATTGATTCCAAAGCCCACTACATCTAGCTCAGTTGTTATATATACTTCAAAGAAGATTCGAGGTCCTGGGTGATGAATGTGTTGGGAAAGCTGGAGCCATTCCACAAGGAAAGGCTTGCGACATCAGCCGAGAAGTCTGAAATGGTCAAAAGGACCATCAATAAGGATGGAAAGCGGTGCACGTAGGGGTCTTAATTTTCCAACAAGGGTATCCAGGCTCAACAGCCTATAGTATATATATATATCCCAGTATATGCTCCATAATGGTGTGAAAGGTTTACCAAAATTTACCCCTAAACCATATATATATATATATGTTTGTAGATAATGGGACTGTATATGGAACATTGGGATATATATATATATATATATAATCAGAAATTCGAGACTGAATATGGAATGTTTTAGAACCCATGCCATCCAAACCACCCCCCTGGAGCCCTTGCTCCTTGCTCCATCGTGCAAGGTCGGGAGGGCCCATGCTGAAGCAGAGCGGAGCCTACCCACGAGCTTTTGGAGAGTTCGTTACAGAGCAATTCAAGGCTGATTGGCTGGGGCAGGGGTGTGCCCATATGTGGGGTTTCAAAATTAAGGGGTCCGTGCGCCCGCATGCGGGGACCCTTTTCATCTTGAGGATCCCTTTAAAGGATTTTTGTTAACTGTAAACCCAAATGGCTGGGGGCTGGGGTTCTCTTTTTGAAAATGATGGTGGTTTTTGAAAAAATGATGCACCGTGGGTTCCCAGAAAAATTTGCGAATGTTCAATAGCAGGGGTTGGTATATAAAGAGTTTTCCCCCAGGGTCACGAAAAAGTGGTTTTAAGAAGGCTTTGCAACCCCTATTAATTTTGAAATCCCCATTCAAGGGAAAATCTGTTATATGTATATGTATATAGTTGCATGCGGTCAGACAGAACACACACATCATACAAAGAGAGAGAGAGATATATATATATATTATGTTTATCTATATTTGCACAAACTATACAACTGTTCAAGAAATCACCATGTCATTTAAATATATATATTATATATGTTGCACACAAACACTGTTCATATCCATCATGTTCCCTTAAGTTCTGGAAACCAAATTGTTGTATATTTCACAAACAGCCAGTTTTGTGGTTCTATATCAAAGCCGTGATCTTCAAATAATGGTGGTTTGAAATTCGATCCCTCAAACCCGGCACCCTCCATCTCTCGCTACAAGTAGATAGATTTATTTAAACATGTACCCATTCAAATATGAATATATATATATATATAAATATTAATATATATATATATATATTTGTGAAGGAAGATGCATCGTGACACCATACCCGAAAATTTCAAAACATATGTACCGTTCAATCAATTCCCAATCTTGCTGTGGCATGGATATATTGTTGAGAGTTTTGAACATCCCCTTCCAAACTAAACCCTGCCCTCCAGTCGTGGTAGGCAGGACAGCCTCCTGTGAAGCTGGCTGTGGATTTGCCAGATGACCTGTCGTCCATCCATATTGAGAGGGCACCGTTTGACTGGGCACATGCTGATTTACAACCCCTAAGGGATTACCTTTTGCAGGCCAAAGAGGCTGGCAAATTTGTGCCTCAACCTGGCTTACCCCTTTAAAAGCCAAAACTGAAGAGATCTGGGATGAAAAGGACCCCCTGCACTTTGGTGGGTGAGCGGTATAATGCTAAATTGTTTTGATCAGCCCCTGGCATCAAATCATTTTGGTATTTGATTTCAAAAAGTTAAATACCTATCGGTTGCCCATAGACCCAGAATGTCCTTGACCCAGTTCTCTATCAACCAAGCTTTGGGTTGGCCCTGAAGTGGCTGTCCATGAGCCTGCACTTTACTAATTTGCTCGCATGATTGGCGATGCAACACGTAAATTCAACTCAAATCTTGTTGTTTCTTCACAGCAGGAACTGGGTGACCAGGTGAGTGGTTCAGAAAATGACCGTGACGAGACCGTGACGAAAGCGTGACGAGATTTATCGGAATTTGTCGGAAATCGGATCAGCTACAATTAACTTTAAAAGGAAAACCAAAAATCGGACCAAAAAAAATCGGAAACTGACCGTGACGAGACCGTGACGAAAGCGTGACGAAACGTGATCTCTAAAACCCACATTTTTGTTTGTAGCCATTTTGAGAGGAAATCTTGAGCTGATAGATTGGTTGGTACGCCTTTGGGTTCGGCGATGGAAGATGATAAGGTCAGGGGCCATGTCAAATCTAGCCACGAGAATTTATATCACAAAGGTTTTGGTGAAGATTTGAAGCCCCGTAACATAAAAGAGTATAGATTATAAAACACCTGCTGCCCACAGGAGAAAAGTGCCGCAGTGCGAGAAGCCTTGAAAAAGGCAGCTGAGCTCAGGGTGAAGGTTGCTGCTGAACACAGCCTCGATATTGGGGATCGGGCTGTGAAGCGCAAGAAAGACAAGGTCCAGGCCGTGGTGCTTGGGGGGAATTTGTTGGTTTGTATGGGTTCAGATTCAGATCGATCACATCGAAGATATATATATACATATATATATATAGTTTCAAGATGTGTTCAGCATTATATATTATAATATATATATATATATAATCCATAACCATGAAGGAGTAATACCCGTAATGTCAACCCCGGATAGATAAATATGAGGGTACCCTCTACAATTATTGTAAGTAGTGATAATCTAATACTTAAATGATATCCCCCCGAATTAAACAGCCTGGGGGTTTATTAATCCAGGGTTGACATTACAAAATATGTATTAGTTTTTTCTGGTTGCCGGCAGGCGCCTCCATCACAGAAGGTTACCCCGGAGCCCAAGATCGCCCGGAGTACATCGAGCGTGAGTTTGACTACAACTTCTTCTTCTGTTGCCCCAAAAAGTCTTGCCATGAGTTTTGATCAAGCTGCCGATGAAGGGGTTGCAGCTACCAGCACTGCAGGCTTTCTACAATGTCCCAATGCTATTATTGGAATATGTGTTTACCAACATTTACCTCCTAAGTGATGTTCTAATCATGGATCATTTTGGAATGTAATGGCATTATGATGTGGTGCAATCATATATATATATGTCTACAATAGAAACTTATGTGTTTTTTCAAAATCCCCTGTAGGTGACGATGTTGGAAAACCTTTGTCTTCCTCGACAACCTGCCCAGATCTACTGGATACACTCCCCATGGAGGATCTATTGAGCATTGTTTTGGGTGAAATATATTGGTTGATATTGTTTGATGCCGCCATGCAACCTTTCACCTGCACACCGTCTTCCGATGCTTGAGGAGCCAACTGCCGAAGGCATGGTGCCAGCCCCATCGAATCCTTCGATCTGTCCGGCCTTGGTCAATCCAACCAGTGTGGGAAACCCGAACATGTTTTCAGAAAGTAAATAAAACGATAGAATCACATTGAGTGAAGTCAGAGCTGTGATACTCATTATTTGGTGTTTGTTTTCAGGTGGCTGCTTTTGAGTCGATGGACCCTTCACAACTTGCGTTCATAAAGCATCTGATTGCAGAAGCAGAAGCCAAGCGGCACACGGCACCAGCAGAAACCACAAACACTGAGACCAAACCTGCAAGCGTAGGTGGCACACACGCAGAGGTTTCCATGGAACGCCCAGCTCCTGTTGCAACACCTTGCCGCACGGATGCCACCATTCCAGCCCCTAGCAAAACAACCGTAGAATATGTGAAGAACGCAGATGGGAGTGAAAACAATGGTCAAACCAGTGCAAAGCTGAGACAGTTTTGGTCAAAATATGTTGTCAGCCCTGAAGCAGCGAAGCCAGCTGAGAACATCACCCCACCGACTGCCTCCGCCCCCAGTGCAACAGCGACACCTGCAACCACGGCTCTTGACAGTCCTGGGGCAGACACACAGCCTCACGAGCCCATGCCACCTGCACCTGAACCCAGCAGCAACGCTCCCACACCTGCTCCCAGTGCAGCTCCTGCAGCAAAACCTGATGATCCGATGTCGCCTGCTGAAACCCCGAAGCCTGCTGAGACCCCTGCTGAGACCCCAAAGCCTGCTGAGACCCCAAAGCCTGCTGAGACCCCAAAGCCAGAGGCACTTTCCAGAAGGGAACAGGTCCGAGCAAAGATAATGAAAATGGATGAATTGCAGTACGAGACTTTGGTGAAAGAAAGTGTGGCCCACCCATATTTTGAAACATACTTCAAAATGTCAAAGCCAACGGATCCAGAGGATGAGGTTGAAGATGCGGTGAACTGGCTAATGTGGTTAGATGAACAGCTCTACGCACCTGACTCACCTGACCCTCGAGATCCTGGAGGGATTTGCCGCCTGCCCACACTCATCCTTGGGGAAACACACCCAACAGTGGAATCACCACCTGCAGAAATTCCACAGAGCAAACCCACTGAGACCCAACCTGCACAGAAGACACCGCCAGCAGTGCCAACAGCAAGTGTTGACAATGTGCGTGCAACATTGTTGCGCGCAACAACTGTTGACCTTCAGAAGTCACCAGGCACAGCACCCGAAGTCACCACTCAGCTGGAGCCGAAAGATCCCAAAGTTTTGCCAAAGGTAGAGCCGACAGCTGCAGCAGCAACGCCAGCAGCCCAGCCGCCGAATGCACCTGCAGTGACCCCAAGCCAGCGGCCCAATGACACAGCAGAGACAGCAGAAGACAAAGCAACAGCAGCCCAGAAAAGGATCCGCGCAATCAAGGGGAAGTTTCATCGCAGCATCAGAAGCACCCTAGCAAAATTAAATTCATTTTTTTTGCGCGTGTCTTATTTATAACAGCTCTGCCCCACCGCACTGCGTCCATGGGTTTATTTTTTCAACATCTGAGGCAAATATGCACCACCAGAAGTGGTGGCAAAGCAAAGGGAACTTGCTGGCAGCCTAACCCTTAGACTCTAGCGTTACGCACACACGCAATCGCATATGTATAAATGATGCACATGTATGTACATGCTATGTAGGTTGTTTACATGCATATATATATATAAATATGGCCATGGCATGGGGATGTATCAAAATGAGCTGTCCCTTTTTGGTACCAAAAAGGTTTCTTTAAAGAAGAAATGGTACACCTCATTTTGAGATATCACCTCATTTTGAGATATTACCACATTTATATGTTGTTGCATCTCACATGAGGTCGAGATCCAAAAGCTTGGACGCAACTCTTTGAAGAGTGGCTCCAAGCTGACCAAGATTGGCTGAAGTCAAGTTTGGTTGTCACTGCCCGGAATGAGAGAGAGAATGCGTTGCAGGGCCAGTGGAAACTTATGAGCAAAGCAGCCACTCGAAAGAGATGGAACAACAGATCTCACAAATCGTGAAAGAATCTCTAAGAAACAATTCTAAATGTGGAGTGAGGGATATCTTTTTGATGTCACACAAGATTCTTAAGGGTGAATGGGTTACCAACATCTACAACTCACAACGCCTGAGGAACTGGATATGAAATACACCGATACGACGTTGGTGGATGATCTCATCGAACGCAAGGTGCTTCGGCCGTGGGATTTGCTTCGGATCTACAATGTATAAACATATCATTAAAAAAACAACACAATGCAATGCATTCTGGTTGACCATTAAAAAAAAATATATATATATATACACATAACATTTTCAAAAACTCTCACAGACCTGGCCAGGTTGCTGAGGGGATGACTGCTGAGAACCCGGACTTTCCGGGACGCAAGGCTCGATCCCGCCATTGTTTGGCCTCATAGGGAAATGCATCAGAAATACCATCGTATGGCATGTTTACCAACATTTACCTCCTAGGTGACCCAAATACAGGGAACTATTTCATATGTATATATATATATATGGGTATGAATCAAAATTAAATACCTGGGGGACCATAGACCTAATTTTATTTTAGTGTTAACAATCCAATTATTGGGATACCATTTTTTTTATGAATCAAATGGTAATTTCACCCATTTAGATGTGTTGTTTTGGAAGCTACTGTAGGAGCCGCACCTCATGCTCTATTGGTGTTGGGATTCTACAACGAGTACTGACACCAATCGAAATTCTTCGGCTGTGGCGTCATCTTCTTCGGGGGCTATCCGAAACACCGATGCCAGTGCTTTCTCAGCTGGTAACCTCCCCATGGTAGCAGCCCCGGGAGATCCAAAGGGGGCTGGGAAGGGGAAGGGTGTCGTGGATGATGGGCAAACTGGGAATGGAGAGAAGGGAAAGCCAAAGGCCAAGGCCAAGCCCAAGGGCAAGAAGGGTGGTGGTGAGGCCAAGGAAGGTGATCAGAATGGGAAACCAAAGACAAAGACCCCGGAGCAAGAGTCCCGTTCAGTGCCATGTCCAATTCTGTAAACTTTGAGCTGGGTTCTATATATATATATATCCCCAATGCTCCAAATTTATTAACACTTACCCCCTAAGTGACCGAGATGTAAGAACATATATTCCATATATATTCCATATATATATAATATATATATATATATATATGTGTATTTATGGAGCATATATATATATAGCGGGATATATATATATATATATATTATATATTGTTTTTTTCGAATGATAATCCTATACTATGAATTTAGATATCATTGTGTTCCTGACTGCGCTTGAGGCTATGAAGACTGCCGCTGACTTGATCCTTGAGTGCAAATCTTGGGAATCGAAGCTGAAGTCCAGCAACACGTCCGAATCTCATTTATCCAGATCTTTATATACACACATATTAAAATATATCATCATGAAAACAAATACATTAGATATGTTCTGGTCATGCTACGTTCATATATGAGGCCGCAGGATCTGATCACGGCTTTGGTTCGTGACATGGCGGGCCACTTGGGTGGGTTGGAACAAGCCCGTGGCGACGTCGAAGTCGGGGGTCTCATTTGTTCTTTACTGATTTTGTAAGTGTTCCTATTATAGGGTGGAACCACACGAGAATCTTAACATCACCAATTGAGGCCGCAATTGCCGCTGGACAAGAAGGTGATAGCCTACTGACTGTGAACCAAACCTTGGCACAGCGGATTTCCGACTACAAGAAAGCTGCGGGGCATTGCAAGAAGCATGCCCCAAAGGCGAAGCCAAAGGCTTCTGCTAAGTCTGCGGCCACTCCGCCGGAGCCGTAGGTATGGAGTTTTCCATGGCTTGGTTTGCCCTTAGGGCTCTTGAAGGTTATTTTGATTTTCATGATATGATGTCCATTGATGTTTACAAAACATGTCCATTTGCGGGCTATATATATATATATATAAACTCACCGCTCCAACCTGCATCGCAACTTTGTTGACACCTCCATGGGTGGGGCTTCCATAAGCCATGCAATCCCGTGAAATGATGCGCTCGATTGACCATCGGGGGTTTGCAGTGTTGACCATTGCAAGAGTTGAGCTCGAGTGCCAAAAATAGTCTTATTGAATGTGCCTGAGGTCCATGCTGTATTGGGATCAACTTTGAAGTTAGTAGTTAGTAGATGCTTGAATCCTTCTATTTTGGAAGCTTCATTTTTCAAAAGGGAATGAAAGACAATGTGCGAACCACACCTCCTTTCAAGGTCCACCCATGAGCTGTGTCATATCCCCAATTCTCCATGTATGGCATATTTACCAGCATTCACCAAAATTTTTACTTAGGTACATATTCCATACATGGATCATATAATATATGGGTATCTAGTCATGGCCCATGTGCGTTTGAAACCCATCGCAGGTGATGGATGCTTCGAGCCAGCCTTCGCTTCCCATCTTTTGGGATCTCTAGGACGAGGGGCGAGCAGTTGCAAGGAACTGCAAGAAGCCGCTGCAAGCGTGGTGATTGAATCAGGTGGAAACTGCAGCCACTGGGAATTCCCAAGCTTTTTCCTATTGTTGCTTAATTGGTGTACCTAAGATATGGACACATGAGAATGGCAGCCAAAACATAAGACTTACAGGGGGGTCATTTCATTTTATATGTTGGTTTCCCAGAAGCTATTACATTGGGAGCCCTATTAGGTTGAAAGAAAAACATGGGTTTCCTTTCTTCCCACCAACACTTCATAAGGCGATCTAACAAAACGAATCGCACGAACTGGTGGTGGAGGGAAGCACCCCCAGAACATCGAACGCGACCTCATGAGGGCACTGGAGTTACCCTTAGATTCTCAGGAGTAAAGCAATTTTAGTGTTTTATATATATATGTAGTTTTTTCTTCGGGTTTGTTATTGGGAATGTTGGGGAGAATGTGTTTTGTTTCTACTACTTGAGAAACAAAGATTGAGGACTTACACTGGATAGAGGTGCCCGTGAAAGATTTGAAGAAACCAAAGCACCGTACAACAATGCAAATCCCATTTGTCTTGGCCCACGAAATGCTGCATTACCTTGCTGAAGCTTTCTTGCACTGTTAGAATCTTTTCAGGGTTGTTTCAGAATCCTACAGCTCAACGTGCTCCACGTGTGCATATATATATATTATATGATTAACATTGCGCAATATTAGCTCCGTTATATTTAATATGGTAAAGGTTTCCCACCAGCCACCCAGGACACTCAGAAAGTTGTTATCCCAAAGTCTTCCATCAAGGAGTACTGGGCTCACTGGAAGAAATTTTGTACGCATCATGAGGCAGCAGATGATGGGAACCACAGTCCAATTGGGCTTTTTGGGGACGACGCGCGGTGGTCCTTAGCAGGGTCAAAGATTATTTGCGTGCTTCTCAACCAAATCTTGGACCCCAAAACCAGACTCTCAATTCATTATTAGCAAAGCATTATTTTTCCATTTTTGGATGTGTAGTACCTTAAAAGTTTTGTGCCAAATGATTTAGCTAGCTATCTGATATACTTTCGGTCCAAATTGAGGACTGCCTAGCACTCGCTTCCTGCTCTTTTGCCTCCGGGTTGAGCTGAGTCTTGGCACATCAACGATCGATCCACTTTTTCGTGCTCAGGCATGGAGCCTTAACGTTTCTCAAATCCTTAATGTACTTTTGGGTTGTTCTATTTTCAAGTAGTACTGGAACAAGAGATTTTAGCAAGAAAAAAACATGCACAAATTTTATGTTTGAAGAAAGGGAGCTTGCATGCAGCTTAGGTTGCATACCATGGTGTTTTTCCAAGCGTCGATTGGGACGGCAACAAACTTCATGGCCGGTTTGCTACTTTTTCTGGGCGAAGGATTAGTGGTGGTCCTCACTGCTTGGTCGAACTGCGGGGGGACTGGAAGTGGCACAAAGAGATGTGGAATTTGAAGAATAATTATGCTTGCCGCAAAATTGGCACTGGTATCTGTTTTCGTTGCAAAGCCTCGGCAAGGGGAGAACACCAGTTCCTTGTTGTTTGTTCAGAAAACATTGTGTTATATATATATATTAGGATTGGTTCCCTGGACACTTCTTTAACGTGTTTTTGCTTGAGATTATTTGGAGCCCCACTCTCACCAAGAAATGGCAAGGTTCTCACGTTTTGCAAACTTTTTGAACATCCCTCGGCTGAGTACTGGTGAGTTCTTTACAGTTGCCTTGACCCTCGTCTGGTTACACAACAGTTTTTGGATTTGTTTCCCAGACAAATGACCTTTAGAATTTGTTTGCATAATTTTGACGATTGGGGTTGTTGTGAAAATGCAGGAACCGATACATTTGCCCCATTTCCTTCGTGTTCGGCTGGATGCCCAGCATGGTGAAGTTTTGCTTGATGCATGTACTTCATCTTGGGCTACTACATTTTCTCAACGCAGCGAGTTTGATGTTGCTGCATGAGCATGGATGGTTTGGTTCCCCAAGAATGTCGATCAAAGACATGCTTGAAATTTTGACCCTCCGTTTTCGAAGGTGGTGCAGTGTGCAGGGAATCAGGCCTTGCAAGTGGCTCCCAAATATGTCTTATATACATGTGTGTATATATACCGGGATGTTTCAAGTTAATGCTTTTCTAACCCCAATTCTATAGGAACATTTACCAGCATTCACCCAAATTGTTACCTAATAAATGTAGGGTACTCATGGTGAATTAACACGTTGATATACATCATGATAAACTATATTATACAATATACCTGGGCCTTGACAACCCTGAAAGGCACACCCAGCCGTACATCACCAGCGGCTTGCTCCATCGGACGCAAGGGGAGTTTTGGGAGCTGCGGTTGAAGGCTTGGAACAGCCGAATTATGACTGCTTTTTTGACTACCTGTTTGAATGCTTTGGTGGGGTCATTAGCACTTGATCAGCGACCACCGGAACTCCTTCTGACTACGGCAACTATGAATTCAATATCAATTTGGATGCTGAAACTTGAGGGGTGTGGGCGATACCTTAGTGGTGAGGATGCGCAATGGCTGTGGACTGAGGGCAACCAGTTTCTTGCCTAGCTACCTGTACATGACAATATGCCTAGATGAATGGGGATGAACCAACAACCCAAAAAATTTTTAGCTTTGGCAAATCACTTTTGGCAAGGTTTCTGGAGTACTACAGATGTGCTGCACAAGCCTTCGTGGAGAAACAAAGGCTGTTCTTACCGCTACGTCCAAAAACACATGTTCCTGCAGTTTGTTGAGCATCTTTTGCATCTTTAACATGTTGGATCCTGTTGGTGGTGGGGAATGTAGTTTAGTTTGAATTTTGTTGCGCAATGTTTTGTCAGCACGCAAGGCATACCAAGAAATATGTTTGGAAATGCTCATCACGCGCCTCAATGCGCGAACGTTTCATGGATACATGGATGAGGATGCAATGGGCTCAGTCAAATCCATTTGCAAAAAAACCCATCGAAGCTTAATGGAGCTTCGGGTTATGGGCAGAATTTTGCTGGGTTTAAAGGTGGCTGGCCAATCAGTCCGTGCTCGGTAGAAAAAAAAGGTGCTTTGAACTACCTTGGTGGAACTTTTGTAGGTGTTTTCTTCGAACATGCTTATCTGACAAAAAAATCGGATTTTGGATGTAGGCCCCTGGTGCTTACATTGGCAAAATCGGGTGGCATGTAGGCATCTGGAGCTAACATTGTCGAATGTTGATCATATTTGCACACGTTGGAGCCGTAGGGTAATATAATATAATTTAATATAATTTAATATAATATGATATAACATAGTATTTAATTAAATATAGTAATATAATCTAGTATTTAATGTAATATAGTATTTAATAAATTTTGATATATGTATATAAAACCAACAACAATTCGGGTGAGCATGTGGTAATCAGCTCCATGGCTGGGAATCCCCCCACTTTGCATGGAGGTTGACCGGATTTTCCAGCCAGGGACTTGGTTGGTTAAAGGGATGCAGAGCTCCGACGTCTTTGTTTCCAAGAAGATTTTCCTGCGATTGGCGGGTACATCCACACATTAGAATTCAAAGAATCACCCCCAAAAATCATTGACTCGTGTCCAAAAGTTGTGGCACGTGACATTTGTTTTGCACATCGTTTTTGTCCACTAGATCCATCATTGTTGGTTTTATGCCCTTTTCCAATAGCTATTGGCCGTATTGGTACCCCTTGTTTTGGGTTTTGTTGGGCCATAGCCCACTGGACAGTTGTGTTTTGCGAATACCCTCTGATAAACATTTACACAGCTATGGGATTTCACGGTTTTTAATAGGTGAATCAACTATTTCTATGTGCAATGTTCAATAGCTATGTTAGATTACCAGAGGGTAATCATTATCATGTATTAGTAATATATATATATAGACAGTAATCATTATCATCATTATTGTCATTCTCGTCTCATCATTATCATTTTAATCATGCTATTATCATTAGTTGGGGATTACAATGGATATGATTATAATACATCATTACCATTATAATTATACATCCCCAATAGTCATAATCATTGTAGCTCATGGATTCTATTAATGTTATTAGTTGATACTTATAATACTTGGGGATCAGTTCTTAAAATATTACTATTTGATAATATTATTGTTTGATAGTACTAATAGTTCTATTAACTAATATTGATTATTTTTACTAATAAGTTTACTTATAGTATAGCAATAATTATGAGAATGATTATTATTACTATTTAATAGTTGAGACCCAACTATTATAATATTATAATTATAATTCCTAGGTCAATCTTGGATGGGTAGAAACTGGTCCTTTAGTCTTTTGGTTTCAATGGGTATATCTACATTCACCAGCTAAGACTTTGATTTTTTGCAGGGTATCTAAGATTGGCCATGATTAGGGGATCAGTCAAAAAACTCATCATTATCGGTACCCCGCTTGCCGCGCGTTGCCGCGCCACTGCCGCTCAACAGCCGTCTTGTTGGACCCCCAAAACGAAACCAGCCATGGCGATGTTCCCGGCCGCAGGGCTGGTATCTCGGCCGCTTTTGGAGTGGGATATATGGCGAAAATATGGGGAACATATGGGGAAAATATGGTGAATGGGTGGGGAATAGGTAATTTAGTTTGATAAACCAACAAATAAGGAGTGGGGATGTAGGATGGAACCAATGGGATACATGGGACATTTTTTCGGTATAGCAGCCTCACGTCGCGACGGTGGAAATTGGATTTGGGGGAACTATCCGACATAACGAACTGGAAAATCGCATTCATGGGGAAATCAACTGTTTCTATGGCCATGTTCAATAGCAAACTGTAAACGTTTACCAGAGGGTAATTGCATAGACCAACCAAAACTTGGGATGTCATTGGTGTAAAACATCAGTAATCAAGCTGGGTGAGTAAGCTTGTGCCCCTCCAGTGATGTTTGTTGGTTAACCCACATCAAATGTATGAATTCTGGGGAATATGTGGGGAATATCTGGGAACAGGGGATAAAACCAAGAATAATGGATATAGTGAAGAAATGTGATAGAACCAGCGCATCAGTGGGATATTCTTGGTGTGTATATATATATATTATAAATAAATAAATATATTTATATATATATATAAGTATAGAAGTATATAAGTATATAGAACTATATATATATACACGTAGATGGGATATTACTGATATTATCAGATTTAATGAGGATATGTCATGAGATAAAGACTCGGTGGTGCCCCAGTTCGTTAACTAAGTTGGTTCACAAGTAGGTTGACTGATGTTAACTGGGACTTTCAGGTATGGTAGATATTGGTAAAGTTAATGGGGGTTATAAAGCAACAAACATTATTGGGGTTTTGACATGCTTTGACCGCATGGTGGACGATTATGAGCATTGATGAGCATTGATGTAGATGGTGATTTGACAGAAAACAGATGCCAAGAAACATAACGTCACCAGTTAATTGTAGCTGTATGGCATGGCATCAGAAATTGAAATGTAGATTGATTCAATTCGGATGCAAGATCATAATAGTTCTCCGTGAACTGGTTCAACAATTGATTCAATAGAATGGTGGATTGGTTTTATTGGGAAAATCCTCACCGGAAACCATGGATTTTCCCATGAAATATGGAGGTGTCCTGTAATTTTTCCCAAGAAAACCCATCCATTCGCTGTGCATCGAGGCCGCGGCACCGCTCTTCGCGGTACCCCAGGCCATGGGGATGTTAGCATCATGAGCATTTGGACATCTTCGAGAACAACAATTCAAAAAAAATAGGGATTGAACATGATTGAAGCATGAAAAATCATGGGATTTCACCAATTTCACCAGGAAATCATGTGATTTCAGCATCTGCGAAAAGGTGAACCATGGGAATCTCCGATCCGCCGATCCGCGGCAGGTCATTGGCCGTGGACCGCCGGTCGCGCCGGCACCGCGCGCACTGCGCGGCACGGCGCAGCTGGGCGTGCGACGACGTGCCGAAGGTCAGTGGATGTTCGTTTTCACATCTGCAGATGTGTATAGATGTGTATAGATAATATGTTTAAAGATATTGTTCTATCTTAATCATTTATTGTAGAGATATGAATCATATGTGAAATATTATAGTTATAAATATATTATCATATAGACATGGCTATATTAGTGTATTTTGCATGTATATACATATATACAATATATATATATATATATATGATGCATTTAGATAGTTAATATGATTCAAGTGATTTGTTATACCGTATATATTTGTACTATATATAACTATGTATATACATAATATATATATATATATACACTTGCATGTACATGATGATGAATCAAGGCACCATATTTGCCAAGCAGCACGTGGCAGGCGTGCGCTTCCCGGCCGCGGCAAAACAGCCGCAGGCCGTAGAAGTGTCGCGAAAGTGTCGCGGCGAAGATTGCGTGGTGAGTTCGTTGTTATAACCCAAATTAGTATGCGGGTAAATTTAGGATTATAGAACCCTAGGAATTGGGGAATTATCCTAGGGTTATCACATAATTAAGCCGTTGTAACCCAAATTCCGAATCGGGGACTTGGTGAGTTATGTGGGAAGTCAATGCTGATTCAATTGGGATAGAACTGGATATACATGGGCATGCAATATCTATGTATATCATTATATCATTATATTAATGTGTATCTATAATAGAAAAATATATATAGATAGACCTCGAAAATGTGAGAACTCTATGTATAGAATATATGGATATTCATGGATATTCTATATTCCATAACGGGCATAGGCATATAATATGTAGCCTCCCCAGGTTCGAAGCCCAACAGTTGGACCATCCCGGAAACATCTGAAACTGTCTCTATTTATAGATGATTTTCCATAGTTACAAGGCACAAGGAGTTGTATGATACAGTTACATTCATATGTGTATATATATACATGTATAAATATATAGATATACATATATAACATATATATATATATATCTATATATATATGGGTAAATCATAACGGTGATATCTTTGAAAGCCCAGGGATGATCCCAGTCCTGACATGTTGGGTGAAATCACCAACCAGATACAGTCATTACCTGTAACATGAGGTGAGTTAAACAAACAGATTGTATCTAATCATACATATATATATATGTACGATTTCCCATTTACTGCGGCGATTCTCAGATTTGATCAATAGATAAAACAATTTGCAGAATACTTCATTGATTTGTTTTTTCTTGGAACTTGTGAAGGTTATCCGCCCCTCAATCCATTCCAGTGGTTCGAAACCAGTTTCTGATGGATTGGATTAAACTTCACAGCACAATCTTCTATTAAAAAACAACTAAAGCTAAAATATCTACTCAACATGTTTCCCCTTAGCTAAGTTGAGTTATCCCTATCTATAGTTACTATCGTTGAGCCACATACTAAGACACCTATAGTCTAGCCACGACCTATTTCATTGTGAAATCCAGTGAATCCGCTGCAACTCTCCAAAAAATGGGCCGCTTGGTTTTGATAAATTTTCACAATTCGACCCTGAAAACAAGCAGTCTTTAGTGGAAACTCATCTTGAAAAACCCCTAACATAGGCAGGGTCGAAGTGTTAAACTACTGGAGAGTTTTTGTTGGATTGAATTCCATTCAGCAGATGAAGGCAACATATTTTGGGAATGGGCTGAGGCCAACTATATGTTTGGCAAAAGATTTTGAACCATGATCTAAAGGGACCTTAAGAAAATTCAACCAATATTCCATGATGTTCATGTTTTATCTATATGAGGGTTATAAGCTTAAGCCACACCCATGACCTTTTCAAACAGGCTAAGGTTTGATTTCCAAACAAAGTGAAACATGTCCATTCTCTGATGGCAGTAGTATCATTGGTTCCTCCTCATTTTTTCCATGAAAGACGGCCAGAAATTTGATATGTTGATGGTATGCCCCAAATTTCATATACAGCCATGAGAATATGTCCTATTTTTCTCGTTATGCTGTCATGCCCAGTTTTTTTGCTGGTAAATATTTCCACTTGAATTGAAGAGTATTAGTAAACCATTCACATTTTCAAACAGCAATAGCGTCCATATCCACTATTATTATGTTTTTTATTTTAAGTTCCCATTTTGGCTGGTGAATACCACTATTGTTACTGGTCATTTACCGTTTGGATGAAATTTCGCAATACATGTGCATTTTCCATCATTTTCCCATATGCCAAACTTACTGGTGATTTCTCCAGTTGCCCGTTTTCTACAACTTTTTGCACAGTAACTACTGTATCTTCAATATATATATATTATCTATTGCCTTATTTCAGGTGCGTGAATCATTATAATTGACCCAAAACAATACCTATATCATAAGAGAATATATTTATTTATATATACAGATTTATTTCTTTATAAAATATAGTATACATTTATAATATATATATACACAGAATATACAATATATATATACATACAGATCATTATAATATATATATGGTTTCATTTTCCGATGGCAATGCCACTGGCATCGATGGACATGGGTCAAATCGCTCTGGCTGTAAGGTGGCGTCATCGGCTGCTGGCGGCCTTGGGCGTCGCTGCAGCGTGGCTTTGGCCTAAGATGGCCTATGCCAGAGTTGCCAAAAGGCGGGAACGAGTGGCACCCTTGGGATTGGCAGAGATCAAAATCAGATCATGTGGGTAAAACATGGTAAAACACTGTCATAAACCATGGCTGGGACTGGTTTAGAGCACATTGATTCTGAAATTGGCAATGGTTTATCATTGATCCACATTAGCCCTAATTTGGATGGTTAAACATAGACATTCCAATCTGTTGTCCCCCAGGGCTTGAACAAATTGACCCGTAGCCACATCATTTCCATCCCATCCCACTACCGTGGGTATGGGTTATATAATCTATTAAAACTGAAGAGAATTTGTGCTCTCCCTGCACCTTGAAATGTTCACCCATTAACATTTAGACCCATGATCAGGAAAATATAGGAAAATGGTCACGATGTTTTTATTGTGTCCTCAAAATCCACCAAGCCAAGTGCCAGATATTGGTTGAACTAGCAAAATACCCATAATCTATAGTGGTACGACCGGGAATGCATCATCATAGTAAACCCCCCCAAAAAAAGATAAAAAGATGCCGAACACGAGAAAAATTGACCTTTAAAGTTTCAGCACTAGCAGTATTTTCCTTTCCTTTCTTGTTTTTCCGGGGTTACCTCTTGATAGATCCCTCTTGATAGATGCAAAAACAACCTCACTGCGACATCACGGGGATGTTCGGAATTGGATTGGGGTATAGTTACCCCAAGTGGCCGGCCAGTTGGGAAGATTGTGGGCTTTATTTCAGATGAGTGAATTACGAACAAATAAATCCAGAACAAGAACACATCCAATAAGAAGGAATTTTACCCGTGGTAAGATTATTAAAAGATAAATCCGTAACATATATCTTCTTTGAATCCATTATTGCTGAAACATAACACTAGCACATTTTAACTAACACATTATTTACCTTGGTAACGTGGTTATTAACAATAATAACAGTAACAATGTCATAGACCACCCATGACTGGGAATGGTCAACATATCACCTATAAACATGGTGATGACTGGGGGAGGGTTTATGGTTTTAGCCACATTAATCCCAATAAAACCATAGATAATAGATTATCTATGATATAATATAACCATCATAGATCATTGGTTATATTATGAATGGTTATATTATATCATATGGTTATATAACCAGTTGTAGTTGTGTTGATTTATACATCATAGATCAACCCAACTATACATACAACAGTAGATACATGGTAAACATGGCATTGTTTTACCCACATTGGCCTCATCTCCTCAGGGTTGTCAGCCGAGCTGATGAGCGAAGGGCTGGGCTCTACACAGTGCCTGGGAAAACAAGGGGTGACATGGGTGATTTTTGTGCTCGAAATGGAGAAATACATATATACATATCATGAAATATATAGAAACACAAAGAAATATATAGAAATACAATGACATACTTAGATATATATGTATATACATATATTGTTATACCGTTATACCATCCAAACACCAGCATTATGGTGTAAGGTATTTTGCAGTTGTGGAGCTGATGATGTCAGTCGGACTTACGAAGCCCAAATTCCAGCCAACCAAAAATGGGGATCGTGTAGTAGCCAACTAAGTTTCCACTAAAAATTGGTGATATTCAGGGTTGAACTGTTAATTTACCAGTAGTTTTTCCACCAACGCTAAGAACATGCCGGGCGTTGCGGAGCAAGGCTTTGGCCATTGGTTTTTTCTTTGTGGTCGCCTACTTCAACAGCAGGACCTGCGGGACGGACTGGGACGGACCGGACCGGGACCTGAGGGGACCACCGGGGATGGAGCAAAATTCACATAATATATATATATATATATATAAGTGTATATATATAAGTGTATATATATACATGATTATATATATATGTATATACATATATATGATCATATATATGAGTGTATACATATATATATATATATATTACAATGTATAGGAAGCCTTTTTTTGGGGGGTACCTGATTTCTGATGTCTATGTAGAATTTGGGTAGAACATCAGAGAAGTTGCTCCTTGCAAAGAACAGGAAGGAGGATGACAGCGAAGAGAAGCGAATCAAAGAAGAGGCAATGGGACAGAACTGCCATGGCAGGTTCAAATCTCGTGCAATGGTAGGGTGATCCCCATTAGAAGCCTGCCACGGGTTTTAGCGTGGCGATTAATTAATTTGTTCATTTCCAGGTCAAGAGGCTTGTGCGATTAAAGAAGGAATTTGAAGAAACTGAGGAGCAGGAGGACTGCGGGCAGGGTTTCGGCGAAGTTATACTCCCAGATACTCCTAGTCCGGGTGGTTGGAAAACAATGACACCATGGCCATGAGATTGAGATACTGTGAGCTTTGTCTGAAAATATAGGATACCAAAAATATCATGACGTCTCATGACTCATCCTTGATTTTTGATCATTAACATGGCAATGATATGGGATATGCCGCATTTTTGGCACACACCTATGTCAGTTGTAGTAGACTTTTTCCATGTGCACTTGGTTTGTTTGGCACCCCAGTCAGTCGAGCATCAAGGGTCGAAACAGCAATAGGAACCCCATGTCAGGAGTTGACAAATGGCAAATTTCCCATGACTCATGATTTATAATGTATTGTAATGTCTAGTCCCCTAGTTTTGTGTGTGTGTTGCTTTGCAAACCCACAAAATAATCGTTAATCTGGTTAGATATATACCATAAAGCTTAGTGAAATGTTACTTTAAAATCTACTTATCAATTTAGCTCCCTTGGGCACCACCTTGTAAAGACTTCGAGCGTTGATCAAGCGTTGATCATCGTTGATCATCGTCGGCCATCGTTGGGTGATCTCATCTACTGAAGCTTGGGTCGAGTTCGGTCAAAAAGTTCGATTTTACTCCTGATTCGGTGTGCCACTTTAGGGGTGTAAATCATTGGAATTCCCTCTTTTTCTGTGATGGAACGTTATTTGAACATGTCAATGATATCAGTTGTACATCTCATACTAATTTATGGATACATACATACACAATCATACATATATATATATATATACACAGTACATATATATATATATATAATATTTATGTATATATATATATATAATGTGTATTATTGTGTATTCTAATATCCTTATACCTGCCTCTACTTGTATTTCTTTAGCATGTGAGTTGCCACGTCCAGCAGGAACTCGCGGACGACAACTTGGCAGCCTCACTGAGAGCTGCGCAGCAGAAGATGGATGGTGAGGCCTGGGACCAGCGGTTGTCAACTTCGTAAGTGGTTAGTGTTGGGATAGAGTTAGTATAGTTACTAATTGATACATTCCATTGTTTTATTTGTGTGCTTAAAGTTTAATGATATCTATTGTGGGTTTAGTTCAGCGCCAGTTTTATTTGGATAAAAAGCAGTTATATCCCATCGTTAAATGATGATCCTCTAAGTGCGACGTGCGACTGAACGGCACAACAGGGTCATTTTGACCATGATAGTTGGTGGTGCACCCCCTATTTTGTTGGGGATGTCATTGGTCATTTAGGCTGGTTGAACAGCATATTTACAGCCCAGGAGGTACTCCCCGGCTTGACATGTTTGTTCGAGATACCCTCCGGTAAACTAACAGTTTGCTATTGAAAATGGCCATTTATAGTTGATTTACCCATTAAAAATGGTGATTTTCCATAGCTATGTTAAATTACCAGAGGGTAGAATTGCAGATGGTTTGCCCTGAAATGATGCATTTGATCATATTTGATCTCTGTGAACTCTGGACACAGCTATGCCAGCGATTTTTAGCGATTTTTGGTCTCACCAATGGAGCCAGAAGTCTATGACATTGATGGGAAAGACCAGCTTGATGGGAGTTCATTGAGAAAGTCATGGCGTGTGGAGATTGGAGAAAGCATCCACGATTCGAAATTCGAAACGGACTTCAGCGGATTCAAATTTAAGTTTACCCTTGGTGATTTTGTAGATTGTTTACACCACGAAAGTCTGTTAACATTGGGATTGGTTATTAATTAATTACTAAGTGTAACCCATTACCCATGCAGGAGCATGACCATATTGTCGGTTGTATCGTTCTTCCATCCCCATTGTGTTGACGATACAGAGGAACACATTGCATACCGATATTGAAGATGATCATATGGCGCAGTATCTTTACATTTCAGATGCTGCAACAAAATCGCAAGATATGGGCACATCCTTTTCCTAGATCAGAGAGAGTTGGTATACGAAATCAAGATACTGTGGATGGGCCAGCGAAATCCTGCACCAGGATTTCGCTGGCCCATCCATGGGAGATGTTGGCCGTGGGTCGATGGATGAAACCGATGACTCGTGATCTTGCGATGTTGCTTGTATCTGTGGGGTTGTGGTGGACACATGTTCTTACATGGATGTGGGTCAAAATGGAAGACCTAGGGGACCACAGATGTTCTAGTTTAGTATGAACCATCCAATTATTGGGGTACCTAATTTTGACCCATACCCATATATGATATTCTATGGTTGAAGGGATGAACATAATCCAACACACACTTCAATCCGGGGACACCCCGTTGTACCAGCTATTTCTCCAGAGAATCCTCCCACGAATCCCAACTCGTTCATAACTCTGATGATCATAAGTTTCCGAATCGTGTTGTTCTTCCATGTTCTTCCCAATTATAAGGGGGGTATAGGCTATTAAATATATGTTATTTATATATCTAGTATATATATATATATGTTATATATATATTACTATATTATTATTTTACTATATTATACACATATCATATATTTATACGAATACACATTACACATTTACCCCCTTGTTAATACATATATATACATATATATCCCATTGTTAATATATATATATACATATATATCACATTGTTAATATATATATATATTGTTGCAAGTTCCACCGCGGCCTGGTTCTAAAGCATCTTAAAACTAGTTTTTTTTTGTTTTTTTAATTTTGTTTTCATTTTTAAAGTTCATTTGGAAATCTGTTTTTTTTCCTGCCTTCATTTTGAATTCATTTTCATTTCTGCTTTTTTTGGCTTGTGATTGGAGTTTGTGATCCCCAGTGGAAAAACTGAAACATTTTTGGGCCTTGCTGGGCTTCCTTGGGGCTTTTGAGGCTGTCTCTGGCTGTGACAGGTTGGGGTTCTTGCTTGGCATGGCCAAAATTTTCAAATTGCCGGAGAAAGTGTTCCAAAGCCTAAGAAATTAAATTTCTAAACATAAATTTTGACAATTGTTTCATTTGTGGCAAAGGGAAACCTGGCCAGGATTTGTTGAGGTTGATTGCTCAACTTAACTTGACTTAACTTAAACCAACCAAAAACCAAAATCCTAAACCCTAAACCCTAAACTCTTAGGGTTTAGCCCGGGTTTGGGATAGGGTATTTGAACTTGAAATTTTGAAACAAGGAGGTAAACAAAAAACAAATTTTTGCTTCGAACATTTTTCCGGAATGAAAAAAAAATGAACTTTTGATGTGGGCAAAATTTCAGAATGAACTTTTTTGGGGGACCAGAAAAAAAATGAACTTTCAGAATGAAAAAAAATGAAAAAAAAAACGAAAAAGTTCATTTTTTTTCATTTTTTTTGTTGTTTTTTCATTTTTTTTTCATTCTGCAAATCTGGTCTGACATGAAAGTTCATTCCAGAAATTGGCTCAACATGAAAGTTCATTTTTTTCCCCTTCTGAAATTTTGATCAGCAGGACGGTTCACTCTGTTCGATTCTCTTCTCTTTGATTTTTTTTGGCAATTTTGAAAAATCAGAAATCGTTTTTTTTTATTATTCTTTTTGTTTTTAGATTTTTAAATTCTAGATTTTAAAAGTTCATTTTTCCATTTTGAAAGTTCATTTTTTTCAAATTGTTTTTTTTTCTTCTTTTTTTGGACATCATTTTGAAAACTGCTTGGTATGCCACCTGGTATTTTAAAAACTGGTACTTTGGAACTTTCTTATTTTCAAAACTGGTACTCTTGGCTGCTTTTGTTTTTCAAAAGGAACTATTTCACAAACCTGAGACTTTTGAAGAAAAAAGGCAGCCAAGAGTACCAGTTTTTAAAATAAGAAAGTTCCAAAGTACCAGTTTTTAAAATACCAGGTGGCATACCAAGCAGTTTTCAAAATGATGTCCAAAAAAAAGAAGAAGAAAAAAACAGAAAAAAATGAAAAAAAATGAACTTTCAAAATGAAAAAAATATAAAAAAACAAAAAAAAATGATTTTACTATTTCTTAGAACCAGGCCGACGAGGGAACTTGCAAATATATTGATATAATATGCAATGTATATATCATATATTTATCATTATTTATCCATACATATTATACATTTATCCAATTATTAATACATGTGTATATATATATATATGTACATGTCATATATATATATATAAATAATATATATATATATATAAATAATATATATATACACCCGTCTCCGACTCCTGGCCCGCAGGACGAAGGTGCCGAAGGCGGCACCGCGGCCGAAAGCAGCGCCGAAGGCGAAGCTGGCGAAGCTGGCGAAGCTGGCGAAGCTGGCGAAGCTGGCGAAGCTGGCGAAGCTGGCGAAGCCGCAAGTGACGCAGGCGGCCGTTGAAAAGGAAAAAGGAGGAACAACACCTAAGAAACGTGGGGATATCATGTTGTCTTTTATTATTATTATTATTTTATGGGGATAAGAATAATAGTAGTACTCATAACAATAAGAATAATGATACATATACATACACATTCAACAGATTGTTCCAGTCACATTCTTCCAACAAAACCCCTCGCCTATTTTTACTATACCGTTTGGTCAATCTATAATCATCAACCAACAGGGATTTGGAACACTGCTCACCTAAGAAATATGGGGATATCATGGGGATATATAGTGGGGAAGTGTAATGGGAATTATAATGAATTATATTTAGACAAATGAGCGTTTATCGGTTACATATGGTAGTTTAATATGAGATTACATCCTTTTGTATCCAGGAACTGGGATATGAACATATATGGACCATCAATATATAGTTGATAGGGATATCATGGGGAAATGTAATATATATATATATACATATAGTTGTTTTTACTGTATACACATACAAAAATGTGACTTATAACTGTTGGTTAATACAGGGATGTAATGCGGGTATGTATATATTATTTATATATATACATATATACACGCATATTTATTTAAATATATATATATATATGTGTATGTATGTAATGTATGTATGTATGTATGTATGTATGTATGTATGTATGTAATGTATGTATGTATGTATGTATGTATGTATGTATGTATGTATGTATGTATGTATGTATGTATTTATGTACTGTATTCTTTATGTCTGTATGTCTGTCTGTCTGTATGTATGTCCTGTCCTGTCCTGTCCTGTCTCCTGTCCTGTCTGTCTGTCTGTCTGTCCGCTGTCTGTCTGTCTGTTCTCTTTCTGTCTGTCTGTCTGTCTGTCTGTCTGTCTGTCTCTGTTCTGTGTCTGTCTGTCTGTCTTCTGTCTGTCTGTCTGTCTGTCTTTCTGTCTGTCTGTCTGTCTGTCTGTCTGTGTCTGTTCTGTCTGTCTTGTCTCTCGTCTGTCTGCTGTCTGTCTGTCTGTCTTTCCGTCCTGTCTGTCTTGTCTTGTCTGTCTGTCTGTTCTGTCTTTATTTCTGTCTCTGTCTGTCTTCTCTGTCCTGTCTCTGTTCTTTCTGTCTTTCTTTCTGTCTTTGTCTGTCCTTTCCTGTTCTTTCTTTCTTTCTTTCTTTCCCTTTCTTTTCTTTCTTTCTTTATTTCTTTCTTTCCTTTCTTTCCTGTTCTTTCCTTTTCTTTCTTTCTTTCTTTCCTTTTCTTTCTTTCTTTCTGTTGTCTTTCTTTCTCTGTTCTTTCTGTCTGTCTTTGTCTTTAGTCTTTCTGTCTGTATGTATGTATGTATGTATGCATGTATGTATGTATGTATGTATGTATGTATGTATGTATGTATGTATGTATGTATTATAAATGCTGTGTATATTGGCGATATAATGCAATGATGTATCACAAACAATAGTTGGTTCAATCAGCTTTCTGAATGTGGGTTACCCCACATGCATAGATGATTTTCCCAGTGAAAAAAAATATGGGCAATGTTCAATTGCCAAGTTTGATCACCGGAGGCTATTCCATTTCCAGACGATTTCTGAATACTTCCCCACTCAACATGCAGTTTTCTCAGCCATCCATTTGGAATTCACTTGACTTCCGTCGACAGGGGAGAAAAAGGAGACGAAGCCAGAGGAAGGCGCAAAAGATGAGAAACCAAAGGAAGGTGACAAGAAGGAGTTTCTTGGACGCAAAAATCCAGGTTTGACTGCAATATGATCGCAGCGAAAATGGTAGAGTTTCAACAATTTAAAGCAGAAATATACCCTGTTCCCATCTCCCAAAAATCAAGATGTTGTTGGGTCCACCTTTGTATCGTCATGCAGCACGAGCATCACATGCTGTTCAAATCCCGCGAAGCTCGCCTAAGGGATGATTCCGAGAGCAGCGACAAGGACCACTGGTCATGGCTTACCTGATATACCCTCTGGTAAACGTTTACATAACAATGGAAAATCAGTAATCACCATTTTATAGTTTATTTCTATGGCCATTTTCAAGTTCGCAAACTGTAAACGTTTACCAGCGGGTAATCCCTTCCGCCCATTAGATAATTATTTGCCCAACATATGGATCCGTTTGGCCCCTGAAATGAACAGATCCAATTCTTAGTTTGTCATTGTGCTATCTAACATTGGGGAGAAGGGACTCTCAAGCGGTGATGATGGGTGCATAGTTCATACCAAGCTAGTTCCCATGATCCGAAAATGCAGGGTATCTGCCGAGAAATTGAAAAATGTCTTCATTTGAGAGGACAAACCACCCAGTGATGGGTAAATCATTTTTTTATGCTTGACACCCTGACCAACGAACTGGTATAAAGTGGATTGTGGTACAGGCAGATTGTGCATGTATCACAAAATGCAGGATTGGTGTACTGTATTTTCATGATTTTTCATGTGGGGACTGGGTGTGAGGCATTTTTCCCCCCACACAATGGATATTTTAGTACTCAAAATGACCACTTGTCTAGGTCCATTTGATCCTCAAGTTCGACGACTGGTTTTGCAGTGCAGGGTTAAACGTATGGATGACTGTGATTATAATGCTGGATCCATGTGCAGTTTTTATGCTTAACATCCAATGTGACCTACGATGATTGGAAACCAAGGATTTACCAAAGTTTTGAGGTTGGAACATGGACACAGATGATGACAGATGGCAAGCAGCAAATCATATTTGGTCGGTCACAGCGGCTCAGGAGAAATAGTTTGGTGTCCGCATCCGCTGTATTCGTGTGAAGCTGAGTGCAACATGTTTCATCTTGCAAGGTGGTGCCCCTTGAGGGATGTTTGTTGGCTTATAATCCCCATTGACTATAGATGTATCATAACCCATCATAACCCGTTGCTCTTAGGGTCGTGGCATTGCGTTCCCCCGTTTTACATTGCCGTTGGACTCTGTGGTGGGCTCAAGACTTCAAGCAGTTGTAGCTGCTACAGCACCCAATTGCCACGGGGAGAATGAAGTTTCCAGAAAGTGTGTTTATCCAAGGACCAAGTCTATTTGCAGGGTATCAACGATTAGCACTAGAGTCACTAGATAGTTCCTGGATATGTTTTAGCCATCAACCAACCATTATATATACAGATTTAGTGTAATATCCTCACTCTTGAAAGATCATATCCGCGTTATCACCGATTGAAACTTTTTTTGTGCTGGTCAAATCACAATTTTACACGGTGAAATCATCATCAATCAACCATCATCTAGTGTTTCTTCATGTTTCTTCTGCCTTCGAAAGTTGATTATCCAATTGTGGAGGGTTTGAACCAGATACACTTAATATGTGTCTATTTGGAGGTTTCCTAAATGGGGGTACCTCATTTATCATCCATTTCGTTAGGATTTCCCATTATAAACCAGCTATTGGGGGTACCCCTATGGAAAAACCCATGTAATGTATGTCCCATCAACCAGGGTTTCGGGATCAACGTTGTTGCTTCCCAGATGCCCCAGCCTGGCCGTCGGCTGCTCCCATGGCATGTCGGTGGTCAAGCGCGAGCGCGACGGACGGAAGAGGAAGCGACAACCCTCGCCGGCGTCAGGCTGAGCCCGGCAACAGGTTTGACCATACCAGTGGTATCAATGGTGGGTTTAATTAAGCCACTTAAAATCATCATATAACCATAAAAAATGATGGTATAACCAAACATAATATGGATTTAATCCATGCTAATAATTTGGTAATACGATGGTTTAACCAACAAAAATATATAGAACTAAGGTTAGTAATACGCAATGTCACTAGCGGCTCCCTTTTCTGGATTGACGGTTGAAATCCAACCCATAAAAACAAGTAAATTTGGAGATGGTTTACTGTTGCTTTACTGGCATTATGATGGTTTAACCCACGAAAATGGTACCTTAAGTGGGATATCAGGGTAATATTAATGGATAGTAAATGAATACAGCATCAAAATAAAATAGGTGTGTTGGTTCCACATAAATATTAATATAAATTATCATATTAGATAATCCATGTTTCATTGGTTCTGGTATTGCATCGGGACGACCATAGCTTCTGAACGAAGTCATTCCGGTGTCCGGATAAGGTACGTTTGGTGGTGCCCCCAAACGTACTGTTTCTTGGTTCATAAGCCCAAGGCTATAATCGCCATAAACCAACCTAGTGAACTATAGTTTTAGTTTTATAACCCCACTTATAACCAAATAGTATCAACAAAAACAGAATTATAGTAAGTTCTAGTCATTATAATATCCATAAAACCTGTGTGTTTTTTGTTGGCAAATCAACCAACTTCGCCATTCCGAAGGCACGACTGTGGCCGTTCGCCAGGCGGGCCTTTCCCCAGCCCCTCCGTGACCGTCGTCAGCGCCGTGACCGCTGACGCGGCTTCGACGAAAGCCACGGCGGCGCGGCAGTCGCAGTTCGAGCGCTTGGTTGCTGAAGGTCTAGACCCAGGTGGGGTCAGCGACAGGGACTTGAGGGGCTGCGAAAAGGCCCTAATGGCCATTTTGAGTATTGGGAAAAGATGGGAAAAGGATGTTTAAGTGGATGGAATATGACGGAACAGGAATGAATTCTGTGCGTTGTCTTAGCTGATTTGACGGAGATTCAGATGATTCATTCCGGAATCATATCGGCACCACTGTGTTTATAGGCTTTGCTTATAGGTCCTAAGTGATTCTGGCTTGATGCTTGAATTTGGCGTTAGACAAACTGCTTCAGTTGCGAGGTGGTGTCCCCCAAAGGTTGGCTATACCCATTAACTAGTTCGATGTACCCTCTGGTTATGACTAACATAGCCATGGAAAATCACAATTTTTAATAGGTAAAACATCTATTTCTATGGGCCATCTATACCATGGCTATGTTAAATAACCAGAGTGTATTTGCCATCAAGGCACCACCTTGTCACAGCACCAGGGGGAATCATTCGCCAGGATGATCGGATGATCCTGAGATGATCTGTCAGTCTAAACACAGGAGTCTCTGTGAATATCAAAAAAATAGACCCTATGGATCCAAGTACCTGCTTAGGAAGTATCTGGGGTATGATTTAGAAGGTTAAGTACCTTCTCAGACAGTGTTTGGATCCATAGGGAGAATTAGACTTACTGGCTGTTTCTAAGATCACGTGTATTTAACGATGTTTGAGTATATGAAATATCCATTCGCTGTATTTAATATGTATCTCTAAACCAACATACATCCTATACCGCCACCTGTAAAGAGTCAATGTGAAACGCATATAAATTTCCCAGTGAATAAACATAAATACATAAAAACCATTTATACATATTTATACAATGTCCCATGATTGTCTCACTGATTTATATATCCGCATGATTGTATCCCCAAAAACATTTCCCCAGAAAATTCTCTGTGATTTGCCGTTGGGAAACAGCTCACGGATTCTGATGGATTCTGCAGAAAAACCTGCCATGGTCAGGTGCCAAGGTGGTCTTTCTCTACAAAGACGAGGTCTTGGAGATTCCCGCTGAGATTTTGTTGCTGGCCGGCCACGCCCCCCTCCGCAAGTAATAAAACGCAGGCCTTGTAGAGATCGGCCCTGAAGTTGTAAGAGTGAGTCGGTGATGTTGAAATTAGAGGTGAGTCTCTATATATATATATGATTTTATGTATAATATATATATATATGTTGGTATATGTGTTAGTTTCGAGTTTCTACATTCTGAGCAGTTCCTCTTCAAAGAGTGGGTTGGTGACTCAGCCGTACATGCGAAATCTGACTCAGTTGTGCACGCGAAAACGATCTCTGTGAACGCGGAACGGGCCTCGCTGTACACGCGGAAGGGACCTCAGCCGTACACGCAAGATGTTTCTCAGCCATACACATGTTGGATGACGACATGTAATGTAGGATCTTCCCTTGCACTTGGCAACATACTTGATGCTACAGTATGAAATCTTTTTTTGCACGTAATGCTCGGACCGTCTCATGCATAAGCCTGCCGTACCTGTTTCCGCACTTGCTTGCGCGCAATAGACCCTAAAGGTGCCGTCCCTGTTTGCTTGCTGGGTTGAACACTAGACCCTAAAGGCGTGGTCCCTGTCTCCTTCCTGGGTTGAACACATAACAAACTCTAAAGGTATCGTCCCTGTTTGGTGTTCGCGTGTGCGCCGCTGAGTTCGATCTGTGTGGCTGAGTCCTTGACCTTCACAGAGTGTGCATTTTTCTGATCCAACATCTACAGACATCTACAGGCGGCCAAGGTCTCAAGGATGTGGTGAAAACAGAGGTGTTAGTATTCTGCCTAATCTTATTCTTCATTTATATGCTATGACTTTTGGATAGGGGGATCTAAGAAAACGAATAATAGCTGACAGCTGCATCTCCATAGGCCATGATTTGCCCATCCTTGGATGACTTTGTGGTCCCTAAATCGAGGTTTGAACAATGCTTCAATGCTTCTTTAAGTCAGGGCCTACCAATCGGTTGATTGAATGAACTCTGGCTTTGTCCGAAAATAGGGTATACCCCAGATCCACGCTAGTTGAATCTACTTGATATTACTTGATCATCCCATTAAATGGCCATAAATTGGTGTACCGTATTTCCAGACAAAGCCATATGTATCAATTGTCAAGAAATGCCCACAATTTGTTGAATAAGTTGGTCTATTTGCCTTAACGGTTAGCCGTTGATTTCACGGTGATGGAATCCACACCAACTTACAAAACTAGGATTAGCATTATGAGATATTATGAGCCTTGCTCAAATGTTCATTTTTGCCTAGTTGTTTCAACATGTTTCAACCATTTCTACCTAGAAAGACCTCCGCAGAAAGCCACCGTGATCAGCGAGGCTCCAGGGCGCCTCCCCCGGGTGGCTCCTCTCCGCCGTGGCTGCGGACGCCGACGGCGCCACGAGCTTCGCGGTGCCGGAGGAGACGCCGCTGGCGCCAGAGCTGTCGTTGGCGTTTTGGCGCCTGCTGCGGCTGGGCGTTTTGGAAGATGTTTGTTTGTTGTATATCTCATGTCATCATGATATGACATATAATTATATATAATTTGTTTAAATAGATACAACATACATATATATATACATATACAGAAACATTTCCATATACATATACATATAATAAATGCATAGGTATAGGCATATGCAGATACACATACATATATTCATTTACATATACATTTACATGTGTATGTGTATATATATAATATCATGCAGTCGTTTTATTTACATAATAGATAGATAGATTGATTAGATAGATTACATAGATTAGATAGATAAGATAGATTAGATAGATTAGATAGATAAGATAGATAAGATAGAACAGATAGATCAGATAGATCAGATAGATTAGATAAGATAGAAAAGATGGATAAGAACGATGGATAGATACATAGATTAGATAGATTAGATCGATTAGATATATTGGATAGATTAGATAGATTAGATATATTGGATAGATTAGATAGATTAGATAGACAGATAGTTAAATAGATAGGTAGGTAGAGATATATATATGATGTAATCATTGTGTATATATTTTTTAGATATACACATACACATACACAATACATACATATATTACACTACACTACACTGCACTACACTACACTACACTACATTACATTACATTACATAATATACATACACCTAGATAGGTGTTGCGTACAAAAAAGTGCCGGATTCCCACCCACACACACACACGGCGTTTTTTTTGACGTAGCCCGGAAATTTTGATGCATGACATGCAAAAATGACGTTGCCAAGGGTCAATGGTTGTGAGGGCTGTGGCACTATGGCTCACCATGCATACGCTTGACTGACAAAGAGGTGGTCCCAATACCCTGAACGGAACAAACTCCTTTCTCCATATGGACTATGCAAGTCCATGAGCAGCAAAAATTGTGGGAAGGGAATTCTGTCATTATGTAGCCGGGAAATTACGCCGTAATGCTGGGAAATTACGCTGTAATTGTTCGGAAATTACGCCGTAATGTTTGGGAATTAGGACGGAAACTTTTGGTGATGTTTCCAGTAGTTTTTTCTGGAAAAAAGCATTTTTTAAAAAAACGAACCCAGGTTCCAAGACATCGCACCAATTTAAGTGCACATCTTTGCCTTTGAGCCCCAACGTGGTCCACACATACCAATGAAAATGACGTAGCCCAAAAAATGATTGCGATGTCGCTCCTGGAATTACGCCGTAGCATGGAACAAATCGCGGGCATAAAAGTGCCGCAATTGCATTTCTAGGTATGTATGCATATAGTTGCATATATATATATATATGTATGCACAAAGTATATATATATATATATATATATTTATATATTATGCAAATAGTATACTATATATACATATGTATGGCATACTCTATATCTATATGTATACGTGCACAATTTAGGAAACCTGCCCTCCAGAGCCTAACTTTTTCAACTGAACATGTCAGGTTGGTGAAATTAAGTCTCCATTAATTCATCCGGATTCCATGTCCATTCCAGAGTCTTTTTGATCCAAGGCATTTGCTGAATCAGAAAGTGCCCTTGGCTGAAGGCTTTGCTCCTCAGTGTTTTGGCCCAATTTGTTTGAAACGCAGGCAGATTCTCGACTGTATCGCATGATCATTAGTAGTTAATAGGCTGGGTGGTATTGGTATCCAGCATATTTTACTGGTGGAAATTGCTTTCCCCACCTGCCAGGTGAGGGTCTCCAGGTTTTATCAGCTGGCCTGCCCGCCTCTTGCCCGCTCCGCGTCAACTGCGAGCTCCAGAGCAGTGCCGGACCTCAACCGCGAGCTCCAGATCTCAGCCCCGGAGCTCAGCGGGCACTGCTCAACCGCGAGCTCCAAATGTCAGTGGGCACTGCCGGACCTCAACCGAGAGCGTCAGAGCGCAGTGGGCACGGCTGGACCTCAATTGCGAGTTCAAGATGTCACATAGAATATAAGCTAGAATGTTAGAAGAGATGTCACAGATTGAATGTCAGATAGTATGCAAGAACATATGTGATGTGATGTTTTAGATGTGGTCTTTCTGTCATGGTAGTAATAAGTGAGGATTCAGATTTGCATGACCATTGACAGAATATATATCATGATATATGCCTTGAAATGCCATGTTCAAAGGTTGCAGCCTTAGTCCCTTGTGAGTTTTGCCGTGGAAATAGGTGATGTTCCATTCCGCCTGCATGCTGCTGGCAGGGTTCCAACAAAGTAGTACCCTGGGCTGTATTTGTTGGAATTTGTTCTCCCCATGGATACTGTTCAACCATGAAAACCGCAGCGATTGGAGTTACATTTACCGACTTAGAGATCATAAATCAGATACAAATCGTCATTTCTCGTGGTTAAACCACCATTTTTTGTCTGTTACATCAACATATTTCATTTTTTTCAGTTAAAACACCATGTTTGGCATCTTTATTCTTAATGTGAGATCATGGTTCAAACTTCCTTGTTTTCATGATAAAATCTCATAGTTCGCCATTGTTTTAATCTCCCTGGGCTGGTTCACCAGGCTTCACCTGTTACCCGCGGCGTTTTTGGCCGCGCACCTGGTGGGCTTGGAGCGCTGCTGTGCCGAGCTCCGCGGCGCGGTGCTGCGGAAGCCGGAGGCCATGCTGCGGGCGCTCAAGAAGACGGATGGACAGGTGGGAAGTGGAGGGAAAAATCCATTAGTTTATCATTCATCTATCATCAATCATCTATCATATTCAAGATCATATTATTTAATCATCTATAGTCATAATATCAACAATTATAACGAATTGATCATCTAAAATTTACCTTTCATCTATCAAACATTACCTATAATAATGATCAACATTCCTGAAAATCATTATTGATCCATCTATAATCCATTAACGAATTAATCCTTTGTCATCATCATATCAATCATCGTTTTATCATCGAGAGATAGATGAGAATCAAAAATAGATGATTAATAAATATTAATAAATGGTTAATTCACTTTTTTAGATTATCACAATAGTAATCAATGGTACTAGAAGTAAATTACTACGAGTATCATTGTCTACTATATATTTTAAATAATCTAGTAATGACGCTTTTTGCGGTATCCCACTAATATCCATTAGTATACAGTATACATTGATAAACTCCCATTCGCATCCAGTAGCATTCATCAAACCACTATACTGCAAAAAAAAGTTTGAGATATGTTAGGACTAGTTATAATTCCCATAGGTTTTCCCATTTTTCAATGGTTTCCCCAAGGGTTTTCCCACCAGGTGCTGCTGCGCGCGTTGGAGCTGGGCCTCAGCCGTTGCCAGGGCCCCAGCCGTTGCGGCGTCGCTGAGACCTGGGAGGTCGCTGAGGAACTGCTGCGCTGCGTTGCCGGCGCCCAAGTTTGGCGGCGCTTGGGGCAGGCGGTGCAGGCCACACCGGAGCAACACGGCTGGTTGGGAGAAACATTGGAAACCATATGAAAACCATGATCTGGTTGGTGGTTTCAAACATGTTTTTTTTCCATAATAATATGGGATAATCCTTCCCATTGACTAATATTTTTCAGAGGGGTTGAAACCAGCAACCAGTGTTTTTTTTTGCTTATGTTTGTTGATTTCTAACCTCCATTAACTATATATGATATATGGGGGGTTCCAGAAATGTCACTGTTCGCAATTTGGGGTGCAGATCCGTCATTTCAAATCTCAAAAAAAAACAGAAGTTCACGTCTGATTGAGGTATCACCAAGAGGCAGTAATGAAACAACAGTGCAAAAAGAAACTGCGGGCATGAACGGCTTTTCCCATCAAGGCAATGATGATTTTGCGGGATAGGCCGTTAATTGAAACTATGGCAGCCAATCTAATGACAAGTGATCCCTGTCAGTTGAAATTGACGATTGAGGGGTCTGAACGTAGCAGCAGGGATGACCTCGGCACAATTGACACTGACCTTCAGCCCATGCAACATTAGACACCGGCAACAGCAATGCCAAGTAATGACAACTTTCACACCTGCATATGCAAGCACATCACCACACTTGTTGGCCCATTTTGAGACATTTTGAGGCATTTTGATCAATTTTGAAAAAATTGAGCAGGTTTTGAATAATTTTGAGCAACCTTGAGCGATTTTGAGCAGTTTTTTGGGGCCAGCTTGGGTCATCTCGAGCAATTTTGAGCATTTTTGTTGGGCGATATGGCATTGTCGACCTTGGACAGTGTTCAAAATGTCTCAATTGAGGCTGCTTTGAGGTGGCTGATGTAAACCCCACGGATCTAGACCCTAAAACGAGATCAGTGAAAATGGTTTGCTCCGGACTTGTCCCATGATGAAAACATAGAGTTTCTCGATCACATGATACTTATCAACATGCTTCGCTTTCATCATGTGGGGGTTTCCATACGTGGTGGTACCCCAATAGCTGGATGGTTTTATATTGAAAAATCCGAAAATCAAATGGATGATTTTGAGGGTACCCCTATGACTTATAGGAAACCTCCATATGAAAACCATGTTTTTTTCGAATTTTGATGAATGTGTGGAATTATTTTTTAGGTGAAACCTTGTGATGTTCGATAGATTTGTTGGGGGAAACCATGGGAATCCCGTGGGAATCCCGGTGATTTCTGCAGTATTTCTTGTTTCGGTTGCTTTTGGGGTGCTGACCCTAGCTTTGACGTTTTCCTGATTTTGAAGCATCCCAAGCATCGATCCTGATGCGCCCAGAAAGAAAGAAGTATGGACTTTGTGGATCTAATGCGTATACTTACACTGACACTAAAGTAAGACTGGTTGGTGGTTTGGAACATGTTTTTTCCCATATTATTGGGAATAATAACCCCAACTGACTAATATTTTTTCAGGGGGGTTGAAACCACCAACCAGCAATAATTTCCTTTGATGGTGTCAATCTAACTTGGTTTGGTGAAGAATGTCCAACGTAGAAGGTAGCAACACATTAATCACGAAAGGTAGCCTCCTAGCAGGCTACCTTGAGTTTTACTTTGCGAAGCAAAGGGGCGGGTTGGACCCCTTATCCTTGAACAACCAGGAGAAAGGGACCCCCCCCTCCTCCGCCCTCAAAGGGAACTCTCGCCATATGCCTGGTGAGTCTCTTCACGCAGCAGCCCCTTCGCAGTGTCTCGTCATCATCACCATTATCATCATCAACATCACCATCATCATCATCATCCTCCTCATCACCATCAGCATTCGACTTGAAATTCGGATTTTTCGACATCCATTTTCCAAGTACCCAACGGTGCGATGAAAGTGACAGGTTCGAGCATCCATAGGTACCGCCAAAAGACACATTGGAGTTTGCGCTAACACTGACCGTGTTGTTTTTTTCCCCGCACGATGTGTGTGTGTCAGACAATATACCTCCAAATGGCTCTTTAAATAGACTTATAGTGATGATCAACCATGGCAATCGTGGGGTGCCCTCTTTTCGGATCCAGATATCTCCGTTCAGCTATGAATGTCCGGTTTCACGCCCGTCACAGAACCCACGTCACTTTAACTTTTGCAAGCAAACGCGTGAAGCAAAGGAACGTCGGCGCTTCTCCATGCTTCGGTTGGACAGAAATTTTCCCTTCGTTCTGTCAAAGCGGTGATTTGCTAGCGCATGACGTCAATATTGACAAGCCTAAGGCTTGGTGTCAGCAGAAAAGGGCCCGGTCGCATGTCGGCTTTCGCACTGAGTGATCCCCCGCATCCCCTGTGACACAACTACCTTTTGTGTCACCCCTTCTCAAGTGTTTTGAGAATAGCACCCCAACTATTCAAAATTGGCAACCTCCTCTCTCAACCCCCCAAATGCACGTTTAGATACTAGAAATATCAAATTGTCATAAACCCTACGGAAATAATCCTAGAGTCAAATAGAGTTTAACTTTTAAGTGGATTGTGATGCTGAAATATCGTCCCCATCATCTGTATCCATTATAGTCGGTTATCTACTCACTACATCCCACTCTTGTGGTTTGACACCCTGATTCCCCATTTGTTGCTTGCAATTCCCCATTTGTGGCAAACACAAATCCTCAGCTAGATTCCACCATTAGCACTATATTTCACTATGAATCATCCCAAAAAGATATTCAATATTTACCAGATGCTGTGGCGAGATGTGGCGAGTACCAACCCTATATTCACAGAGTTTTTGAATTCAGGGAAGATCTTGTTTGGGATTTCCATAGTTTCCTGTGACTGTTCCAAACAAACCCATTGATTCATACAGTGTGTCACCCTACAAGGGGTGAGCCCTCCCAATGATAAGTCGCTTTATAAACCCATGAGCTATAGTTACATCATCCTTCTAATCAACCCTAGTTTACCAAGTTCTGTGTGTCAAGCTATAATAGAAGAGGTGTAACTCCCACCAAACCCCAATTGTTCTCGTTGAAACCACCATTTTCCTTTGGTTCCTATATAGTCCTATGGTGGCCCCCGGCCTTGTTTCGTTCGGGGGCCCCACCCAGGAAGTTGTTCCATTTCTTCCACGTCGCCCGGCTCTTGCGCACCAAAGAGTCGCAAGAGTTGCTTCGCCATGCGGCAACACATCCTGCAGCGCTGCGGGATGCCTTGGCGCACTTCACAGGCCGCAAAAAATGAGTGAACGCAAGAAAATTTGGTGGTGTAACCCACACACAAAATGAGTGATTTACTTAAATTTAATCGAAGGAAGTTTAGAAGTCAAACTTCCGACAATATGGACAGATGAAAAGTAGAGATGGGAAGAGTCACAGAAAAGAGAAGAGAAGAGTAGAAGAGAGAAGGTCAGAGAAGAGAAAGAGTCAGAAGAAAGAAGATGCAGATGCGCGAAAAGGTAGGAAAGTCGCGATTCACTGTGTTATACTGCGTTTTTCCAATGATTTGTGGCTCCGGAGGGTCGAAAAGTAGGCTCGCTAAAGCGGCGGGTGCGGAGCCATCTGGCCAGATGAGAGATGAACAATTGCACGCCATTGTGGCGCGAAGCACATTTCGAAGTCAAAATGTACAAAACACACCACGTTCGGACCACTTTTGGAGGTTCAGATGTCGAAAAAGTGCACGCCGTTGTAGCGCGAAGCACATTTCGAAGTCAAAATGTACAAAACACACTACGTTCGGACCACTTTTGGAGGTTCAGATGTCGAAAAAGTGCACGCCGTTGTGGCGCGAAGCACATTTCGAAGTCAAAATGTACAAAACACACCACGTTCGGACCACTTTTGGAGGTTCAGATGTCGAAAAAGTGCACGCCGTTGTGGCGCGAAGCACATTCCGAAGTCAAAATGTTAAAAACACAAGGGTTTCGGACCACTTTTGGAGGTTCAGATGTCGAAAAAGTGCACGCCGTTGTGGCGCGAAGCACATTCCGAAGTCAAAATGTTAAAAACACCAGGGTTTCGGACCACTTTTGGAGGTTCAGATGTCGAAAAAGTGCATGCCGTTGTGGCGCGAAGCACATTTCGAAGTCAAAATATTCAAAACACTAGGGGTTCGGACCACTTTTGGAGGTTCAGATGTCGCTTCGCTTCGCTTCACTACACTACATTACACTACACTACACTCCACTACACTACACTACAGGACATTACACTACACTCCAGTACACTACATTACACTACACTACACTCCAGTACACTCCACTACACTAAATTACACTACGTCACACTACACTACATTACACTACACTACGCTTCACTACACTACACTACACTACATCACATTACACTACAGTACACTACACTCCACTACACTACATTACACTATACTACACTATTTTCAACTACACTTCACTACCTTACACTACACTCCATTACACTACAACTACAACTACAACTACAACTACACAACTACACTCCACTACACTCCACTACACTAAATTACACTACACTACACTACATTACACGACACTACACTACATTCCGCCACACTCCACTACACCACACTACATTACACTACACTACATTACACTGAATGACCACAGATAGATAGGTAGACAGATAGATAGATAGACAGATAGACAGGTAGACAGCTAGACAGATAGACAGATGAAAGGGAGAGATAGATAGATAGATAGATAGATAGACAGACAGACAGACAAATAGATAGAGAGACAGCTAAATAAATAGATAGATAGGGAGATAGATGGATAGATAGATAGATAGATAGGGAGATAGATAGGTAGATAGATAGATAGATAGGGAGATAGATAGACAGACAGACAGATAGATAGGTAGACAGATAGATCAGTAGGTAGGTCGGTAGATAATCAGAGAAAGATAGAGAAACAGAGAGAAAAAGAGAGAAAGAAAGAGAAAGAGTGAAAGAGATCAATCACCTTTCAGTCCATCAGTGGCTTCGCTCTGCCACCTGTGATTCACAACAACCAACCTCTCCTATAGGTTTCCTGTTTTTGAAACTTCCGCCACCGCCTTGTGCGGAACTACTGGTATTAATTTAACCATGGTTGACCCATCAAAATAATGCTGCCATGTTGTATTTTTCCCGAGAGCGTCTGAGCGCAGGGTTCTTCCAATAGTGGGGGGGTCTGTATCTCATCTCCACACCTTCTCATCTTCACACCTTCTCTCACACCTTCTCATCTTCACATCTGCTCATCTTCACACCTTCTCATCTTCACATCTTCTCATCTTCACATCTTCTCATCTTCACATCTGCTCATCTTCACATCTGCTCATCTTCACATCTGCTCATCTTCACATCTTCTCATCTTCACATCTGTTCATCTTCACATCTGCTCATCTTCACATCTGCTCATCTTCACATCTGCTCATCTTCACACCTTCTTTCACATCTTCTCATCTTCACATCTGCTCATCTTCACATCTTCTCTCACATCTGCTCCTCTTCACATCTGCTCATCTTCACATCTGCTCATCTTCACATCTTCTCTCATCTTCATCACATCTGCTCTCACATCTTCATCTTCACATCTTCTCATCTTCACATCTTCTCATCTTCACATCCTCATCTTCACATCTGCTCCTCTTCACATCTTCACATCTTCACATACTCACATCTTCTCTTTCTCTCTCTCACACTCACATCTTCACATACTCACATCTTCTCTCTCTCTCTCTCTCCTTTCTCTCTCCCTTTTCTCTCTCTCGCCTTCTTTATCTTTCTCTCTATAGGCTGAGGGTGGTACCGGCGGGGAGTCACGAAACGTCAACCCTTTCGCACGAAACGAGGTTCGATCGTCAAAAACTGAGGTAAAATTGCGATTTTACTTGTGCCGGAGCAACCCTTTCGCACGAAATGAGGGTCGATGCGCAAAAACTGAGGTAAAATTGCAATTTTACTTGTGCTGGAGCAACCCTTTCGCACGAAATGAGGGTCGATGCGTAAAAACTGGAATAAAATTGCGATTTTACTTGTCCTCTGGAGCAACCTTTTCGCACGAAATCTATCGGCAAAAACTGAGGTAAAATTGCGATTTTACTTGTGCCGGAGCAACGCTTTCGCACGAAATGAGGGTCGGTCGTCAAAAACTGGTGTAAAATTGCAATTTTATTTGTGCTACTTGTGCCGGAGCAACCCTTTCGCACGAAATGAGGGTCGATCGTCAAAAACTGAGGTAAAATTGTGATTTTACTTGTGCCGGACTTGTCCTGGAGCAACCCTTTCGCACGAAATGAAGGTCGATCGTCAAAAACTGAGGTAAAATTGCAATTTTACTTGTGCCGGATTTGTCCTGGAGCAACCCTTTCGCACGAAATGGAGGTCGATCGTCAAAAACTGCATGAGGTAAAAGTAAAATTGCGATTTTACATGTGCCGGACTTGTCCTGGAGCAACCCTTTCGCACGAAATGAGGGTCGATCGTCAAAAACTGAGGTAAAATTGCGATTTTACTTGTGCCGGACTTGTCCTGGAGCAACCCTTTCGCACGAAATGAAGGTCGATCGTCAAAAACTGCATGAGGTAAAATTGCGATTTTACATGTGCCGGACTTGTCCTGGAGCAACCTTTTCGCACGAAATGAGGGTCGATGCGCAAAAACTGAGGTAAAATTGCGATTTTACTTGTGCCGGAGCAACCTTTTCGCACGAAACGAGGCTTGATGTGCAAAAACCGAGGTAAAATTGCGATGTAACTGGTGTTGGATGTAAAAGGGTGTGAGTGTAAGAGTGTAAGCGTTTGTGTGTAAGAGGGTCTGTGTGTAAATGGGGTCCATGTGTCGCAGCTTCTGTGTGTCAAAGGGTTTCTGTGTCAAAGTGTTTGTGTGTAAAAGGGTTTGTGTGTAAAAGTTTCTGTCTGTGTGTAAGAGGGTCTGTGTGTAAAAGTGTTCGCGTGCAAAAGGGGGTGTGTGTGTGTCTGTTTGTGTGTGTGTGTAAAAGCTTCTGTGTGCAAAAGTGTTTGAGTGTAAACGGGTTTGTGTGTAAAAGTGTTTCTGTGTAAATGTAAATGGGGTCCGTGGGTCGCAGCTTCTGTGTGGCAAAGGGTTTCTGTGTCAAAGTGTCTGTGTGTAAAAGGGTTTGTGTGTAAAAGTTTCTGTCTGTGTGTAAGAGGGTGTGTGTGTGTGTAAAAGTGTTTGTGTGCAAAAGTGTGTGTGTGTGTGTCTGTGTGTGTGTAAAAGTGTCTATGTGTAAAAGCTTCTGTGTGTAAAAGTGTTTGTGTGTAAACCGGTTTGTGTGTAAGAGTGTTTCTGTGTAAAGATGTTTGTGTGTAAAAGTGTTTGCGTGTAAAAGTGCATCTGTGTAAAAGGGTTTGTGTGTAAAAGCTTCTGTGTGTAAAAGTATCTGTGTGTAAAAGGGTTTGTGTGTTAAAGCGTCTCTGTGTAAAATGGTGTGTGTGTGCAGAAGGGTTTCTGTGTAAAAGGTGTTTCTGTGTGACAGCGTCAATGTGTGTGTAAAAGCGGCCTTGCTTACATGTTTTGTTTTCTTGCCCCGTTGATTGTTTGGCATGCTTGTTTTCCGGTCATCCCTGTCATGTTCAGGCCTTGCTGGCAAGTTTTAAGCAGTCCTGACTTGTTTGCTTGGCATGTTTAGTAGGCATGCTTAATTTTACCCCGAAAGAGATGTGAATAGATTAATGAGGTTACATTGGGATTCACTGATTTTTGGATTGTGGAGTTTGTGGGTAACACTTTAGGGTAACACTTTAGCATCACATTTCCTTGCTGAGGTTGGCATGAACGTTTTTTGGTTCCCGAGAGCGTCTGAGCGCAGGGTTCTTCCCATAGCGGGGGTCTGTATCTCATCTTCTCATCTTCACACCTTCTCATCTTCACACCTTCTCTCACACCTTCTCATCTTCACATCTGCTCATCTTCACAACCTTCTCATCTTCACATCTTCTCATCTTCACATCTGCTCATCTTCACATCTGCTCATCTTCACATCTGCTCATCTTCACATCTGCTCATCTTCACATCTGCTCATCTTCACACCTGCTCATCTTTACATCTTCTTATCTTCACATCTTCTCATCTTCTCATCTTCACATCTGCTCATCTTCACATCTGCTCATCTTCACGTCTTCTTATCTTCACATCTTCTCATCTTCACATCTTCTCATCTTCACATCTTCTCATCTTCACATCCGCTCCTCTTCACATCTTCACATACTCACATCTTCTCTTTCTCTC